GTGATGGTTGACTTGGTGGAGGCTGAAAGAAGTATCTGCAAAGCACGCCGGAGCCTCCTCAGCTTTAAAGGCAGCGGCTCGGAAAGAAACCGAGAATGATGAAAATCCCAAAGTTGTCATTCTGCCGAGCCGCTGCCTTTGAGACAGAGATGACCGCACTTCATTGTTCTTACAGAATCTTAACTGCTTCTCAAGATCAATGGAGAAGGTCATCTACGACTTCTACTCAGACCTCTTTGATAGCCACGTCCACCTGCCTCAAGTTACCTTAGGGAGGATGAGTACGTCACACCTCTGTTCTTTCGCTAATTCTCAAGACTTTAGCAAGGTTCTTCGCAATATTTGACGCAAGGCAAGTTTCAAGACAATGGAAGACCAGCAAGACCGTTTGCTGTAAAGAAGGGAGATTCTTGCGACATCGGCAATTATCGCCCTATCTGCCTGTTGTCTGAGTTTACAAATCTTTACGCGAGTCATTCTCAACAGGATCGGAAGAGAGAGTGAGATGAAGGACAACTATGCGCGCAAGCTGAGTTTTAAGGAGGATTCAGTACCATAGACTGCACACGGTGTCAAGGCTCAACGATCACGAGTGTACAGGATACGGCTCTGTCTCATCTTTACCGACTTGAAGAAAGCCATTAACTCGGTTGAGATTGAAGCCATCGATGCCTTGAGCAATCAAGATCTCCCTGCTCAGTACATCAAGATAATTCGTGAACTGTGTAATCACTTCGCATCCAGCACCATGTCATTCTACAAGGACATTCATATGACATGAAGATAGGCGTACGACAAAACGATACTATATCGCCGAAACTATCCCTCCGCCCTCGAGAACGTCATCCGGACGTTAGTAATGGACGGAATGGAAAGTCGGCGGCCAGCAATTATATCACCTCCGCTTTGCTAATGGCATTCTATTGGTAACACCGAGCATCACGCAGGCAAAACGAACGCTGTTAAGATCGGTCTACGACTGAACTCAAGAAGAACCTACCTAGATCGCGAACTCATTATGATGAAGAATCTAGCTCCAGACCTGAGCAGTAGGAAAGGTGCAGCATGGGGACCATACAAGACAATTGAAGGCGTAGCGAGACTAAGAACATACGGCTCTGCGCTTACCTCTTTAACTCGGCGATTGTTCCTGCTTTGACGTACGCTTCAAAAACATAGACAATGAGGGATTAGGATGAACATGCGGTTGGCGTCATCGAACGTACTTTTGAGAGAGTGATGTTACTCACGCGGGTGAGGGAAAGTGCGGAGTTTTACCTAACGCTAACCTTCGAAGATAAGGTCCGCTACCGCCTACGCCAAGGAGAACAATTGATAACAATTGATATGTGTTGTACAAATGCGTTTTTGCGCCAATCCATGGACTAGTGCCATAACAGACTGGTTGACCCGAGACTCAAATCGGAAGACCGCGGCGTAATGGTCAGGTACGTTCACGAATTCCTCTAAAAAAGTCTTTAAAACGTTTAGTTCTTGGTGCGATACGTGAACATTGATCAACAATTGCCCCGGAACAGGGACGAACTGAGGCATTGCTGGTGCCCTTCGTGTAACATGATTATAACGGGATACAGGTGATGCAGGTGATTTTCTTAGAATTTTGTTTTGTTTCTCCGAAAAAATCCGACTATCTTGTGGACAGGGCAAACATTACGGGGTTGAAATAGTTTGTCTCACTTCTATAAGTAGTCTTTAGACATTTTTTGCATCAATTCTATGATGCAACAAGTTTCATATTTGGTCAAGCATCGTAGACATCAACTGGCGAGCAACGCAAGCGTCATTTGTTGCAGCATTTCCTCCTCTTTCTAATAGATGTTTTCTGTTTTTAATTCATAAAATTTCGAGAATAAAATTAGCATAGCTGATGTTTTCGAAGCGCTCCAGGCTGTACCCGTGAAAATCTAATGTAAGGAAGACTTATTGGTGTTCGACGCGTTTGTGTCTGAGACAGGGCTGCTAAAATATGCTAGTTTTAATAAGTATTCTATCAAAAAGTAGTGAGTATGGAAAAGGTTTTTTTGTTCAAAATTCATGCCAAATAATCATTTGCCATACTTTGCACACATATACAATGAGTCCAAGAAGGCCATCTTGCTGTTATGTGTATGTTTGCTGAGAGAAAGTGGCGGACCAAGGATGATCCTCATCTTTCCTTCCCTCGAGGAACGAAATTCTTAGCTGATAAACGAGTCATACGAGTCATACATGCATTGGGCTGGGATTATTTTGATAATCAGATGATCCTGTAGTCCTCGTTAATCAAAAACTAGATCTCCCAAAGTTGTGTCGTTACATGCTAGGCTAGTTTTAAGCGAAGTTTAACACGTTTCGGACCGCGAAATCGCGCGCGGCGAAAAAGAGTGTACTTTCAGCCGTTAGCCTACAAAGGGACCTTATTTTGCATCCTGTGGGCCAGATAAGCTCCATATCCAAAGTTCTGAGTGAATTCGAAGTGTTTGAATTTTGTCGCTTGAGAGGGACTTTTGTGCTTTCTTGAAAGATAGGAACAAGAAGTCAGATTCTAATAGTATTCAAAAGTACCTATGTTGTACACGGTACACATCAGTACTGAAACTACGGTTTTTCTCTTTGATATCGAAGCAAAGAGAAGTTGCGACGTCGCACGCGTCGTTCGCGTCGCCGCACTTCGTTGCAACTGTTGTTCGATTTGTGCTCATATCTCCTGAACAAATATGCGCGGCACAGCTCTACAAAGTCATTCGAAAAGTAGGAGCTTAAACCTACTAAGACAATCGATCGGACCCCTCCGGCGGACAGTCGAAATCTGCCAGAGTCGCGGCGGACCCAGTTGACCAACGAGAGCGGGGCGAGGGGGTGGTCCCTTCTTGTAGGTCACGGTGACGTCACTGGCAGGCGAGTGGGACCCTTCTCCGGATCTGCTGCAAAGATACGCCATTTCTGCTCCGGAGGTACGCCAGATTTGGACGAGCCGCGGAGCAGAAAATCGGACGGTTCCGGAGCGCACAAATGGGAGGTCTCCGGAGCACAAATGGGAGGGCCCCGGAGCAGAAAATGGGACACTTCCGGAGCAGAAAATGGCAGGGCTCCGGAGCACAAATGGGAGGGCCCCGGAGCACAAATGGGAGGGCTCCGGAGCAGGCTGCGTATCGATTTGGCGCGTAGCCAAGCAAACGTATAACTCCACGGTGATCAGTCCTCTGTTTACGCTCTTTCTTCATATTTTAGTCGTTGTTTCTTTGATTGTTGTTTTTCCGCGTTTCTTTACGGTTTTTTTCTTTTCCGCGTTGCTCTCCGTCGCGTTGGCGTTTATGTTGTTGTATGTTCCTCGTTTTCAGATTTATGCTTCAAATTTGCGTGCGGATGCACTCAATCATTTTCAGTGTTTGGCTCTTTTCGACGACGACCGGTAACGACACGGCGCTGAAACGGCTGGATTCGCCATGGAGCGCGGATTGTGATTGGGACAGATCTCCTCATTTTCAACTCCATTTGGTTTTCCTTGTCGCAGTTCACTACCATTTATATATGTTTGAACACTCAGTTGTGTTGACCACATGTATGTCATTGCTCCAGTGTCAGTGTTCACCCTTTTCTTCTTTGTGGCTATACAGCATCAACGCAACGCGGGAAAAGGATTCGTATACGTGAGTTGTTGGTTTGCTTGGCAAGTGATAAAAGATCATATCATATGTACTCTTCACACAACCCAACAATGTATTTGAATCCTCGCGCACGGGTGTTGTTTAACAAGATATAGGCTCGTCCGTGTATCAAAAACAGTGTCCGGGAAAACTTTGTACACGGGCCAGTTTTTTATTAACATGACATCTTCAGCCCAACTAGGCCTGACACTGCCTTCAAGTGTGATTTGTTGTTCTTATACTTCAAATGTTCTCTGAGCTATCACATATTCGATGGGTGGATGTGAATGCGAGCACGCTCACTGCTGATGTGATAATGACCTCCACTTCGCTAACCCTTTGTTCTACGCCCATATGCACATACTCCTCCCCCCTCTTGCGAAGAGAGAACATGAGCTCAGAGGGAGGCGGCATATCTCGCCGTTTTGAATGACTGCTGAGACACTGCTTTTGTGACCCCTGAGATTCCCAAAGGGCACGTAAGACAGGGAAAATCAGCCTAAGTCGTCTATCTCCCCACGAACGAAGTGAAGTTGTACTGAGAATCTGTGAAGCCTTAAAGATATGAAGCGTCTCTTCTCAGCATCCCTCCTCTCTCCAACGGGGATGTACTTGAATGCGGGCCTTAATCGTCGCTTCCTCTGACTTGTATTGTTTTACCGCCAATCCCGACCGTAGACGCTATCGTCGTACTCTTCGTAAATAAATTCTTACATGTGTAGGAAAACTTTTTCTATTACAGGATTAAGTGAAATGATCACAAAAGCTTATTGTCACTTATGCAAGAAAGGCCCTTATTTGCGAAAAAACTTGTACGCACATTTACGAGAAGTGCACCATTCTTCAGAAGATGTCGTAGCCGAAGTAAAAAGCGCAATAGCACAAGCGAAACTTGCGGGAAAAAAGATGCACAAATGTGACAATTATGGATCTTTTTCTGTTTCTCGCAGAACCTGAAAAGTCATCAAAAGGTGCGTTCATCAAAAGGTAAATCTCGAAGGAAGCAAATTGAAGTCAGGTAAGAAATTACGCTCTAATCACTATCCGCGCTCCATGGCGAATCCAGCCGTGTCAACGCCGTGTCGTTACCGGTCGTCCTTTTTGACTTGCTGGGACATCGTTGACTTTTGATGGAGTGGTTTTTGTGATTAATTTGAGCTCGTTCCGAACATTATCTGTGGCTTTTCGGGCAGATGCATGCTAAGGTAAGCGTAAGGTTTCTAGGCAACTTTATATCTGATATCTACCGGACATAACATCTGAATCAAAGTCCTATGAGCCACTTACCGAGGTGTATTTTCAGCGATTTCTTGTTCTCGCTCTCTCTTGTTTCTGGCATTATCCATATGGCTGATGTGGAATGTTGGTGCAGTCGAGTTTGCAGGCCTACCTGTGCCAGGCCTTGATGGACTTCTACCTTTTGATGTGCCTGCTCGCGAAGCTTTGCGTGAAGGAGACAACGATTCTCTGTGAGTAAACCTTTTTAATGTCTAATCATGCTTAATGTCTTATATCCCTCTCAGATTACTAGATCGTTTCGACGTCAATCAAGTTGAGGCTTTGTCAGTTACTCTTTCATCTATAATTCGGTTCTTCAATGTCATTCGTTCTTTTTTTTTCGCGGAAATAGGGGTGCAATTCGATTACGATCTAACTCCAGAGGATTACAGTATAAGTCAGTCACCTTACCTTGGGGATGTGCGAAAGTTAGAAAGTTAGACGTACACTTCGAGTCAAAATCTCCTATTACAGACTTTTCTCCTGCAGTGCCACGCTGTGAGATTTTGGAAATGAGAATGAAGGAGTATTTCAGATAGGTCTGCAGTGGGGAGGGGTGGGTCGTAGGTAAGACTAGCTACATGAATTTCCGACTAGATGCGGCTTCACTGATTACCTTGATTAGAGGCACTGGTGTCGTAATGTCGTTCTGCTCGACCGCAATGACGAAAGTTTCAAAATTTTAAGAATCAGCAGTTTCAAGAATTTTCTTGCAACTCTCAAAGCGACGCATCTTCGTGCAGAATATTGCAAGTAAAATGGAGGATCAATTACAGGTTGACTGCTGGCCGACTGAAATCCTCAGGATGGGCCGAATGAGGGAGGATGTCAAGTTTCGTAACAAAAACATTTCTGATCTTCTATGCTTGAACATTTTGTTCCTGTTTCAAATCATTCTTTGAGAATCATTTTGGTTTATCGCCCGCCTTCCTCTACTGCGAAGTATGACGAGGAATTGGCTGACACTATCTATGACTTGAGTTCATCGCCGTTGAACACGATCATTCTTGGTGATTTCAATATTGATTTTAACGCAACGCATAAAACCGCCCATGAGGGAAAGTTTTTGTCGTCTTTGCTGCATTGTGCACCTTTGCAAAATGTTGCTAATGCAACAAGAAATCATTCTGTTCTTGATTTGATTTTTTCGAGTAATGAAATTTTCAGCAACGTTGATATTCTCCCGCCTTTTGGTGGTTCAGATCACAATGTCATCTCATTTCGAGTTTCTTTGGACTTCTGTGATGCAGTATTTCTTGCGTATCCTGACTTTGCAAATGCTGACTACACCGGAATTAGCAATGTCATTTCTTCTATTGATTGGATGCAAGTATCTGATAACCATGTGTCCGTCGATGATCTCTATGAACGCTTCTGTAGAATTGTCTACGGCATCTTCGCGGACTTTGTACCCTTTCGTTTTGACAAACGTCAATCGCATGGCTAGCCAAAACATATATGCAACCTGTTGCAGCAAAAGTCCCGTCTTTTCGCCAATCTATCTGATCCGTTTGTTGATGATACTTATAGACAAGTATGCCTTGACATTAAGCATCATATTAAGAAGTATCTAGCCAATAGGGAAAGACACTTCGCTAAGCCTGCTGCGAAAAAATTTATGCTTACATTAGACTTTGCAGCAAAGGACAAAAAAAACTTCCGTCCCTTTTGTATAGTGACAACAAAGTTCTCCAAAGTGATAGAAAAAAGCTTTTGCTTTGGCAGAGTTTTTTGCTGGGATCTTTACAAAGGAGGATGATAGGCGTGGGAATAATGTCAACGCAATTTTTCCATTCACTTCATATCCACAGCAGTTCTAGCTGTAGTGATATTCAAATATATCCAGAACTTTTACTCAAAATACTAAAAAGGCTAAGAGCAACGGTTTCTGTCAGATACGACGGAATTCCTCAAATATTTTATAGAAAGTGTGCCCGTTCTCTATGCTCACCTTTGACATTTATTTTCAATGCATCCCTATCAGGTTCCTAAGCTATGGAAAAATGCCTTGATAACTGCAATTCCGAAAAATCCCACTTGCAATTCTTTATCCAACTTTCGTCCCATAAGCATCACTCCGCCTTGTGGTAGGATTCTTGAAAAATTTGTCAAGGAAAAGCTAGAAGATTGGGTACACAAGAATCATTTGATACCTTCAGAACAGTATGGATTCCTACCTGGAGAATTAACCACTGCCCTACTTTCTGACTCACTTTTTGATTGGATTACTGCAATTAATCAAGACAAATCAATTGATATCATTTATTTCGATTTTTCTAAAGCCTTTGATAGAGTCAGCCACTGCAAACTTTTATTCAAACTTGAAAAAATCGGAGTACGTAGTAGACTACTGGCATGGATTGAATCGTATCTCAGTGAAGCAGAATGACTGTACGAGTCGGAAATGACTATTCGGATGAGTATGTTTGTGGTAGTGTTCCTCAGGGTGGGATTCTTTCACCGCTTCTTTTTCTAATCTACACCGCTGATCGTGCCTTCACTGCCTTCGTTAAAACACATTCAAATATTCGCATACAAACTTTTGCAGATGACTTGAAAATTTACTTCGCATCTGCCAAGAATGAACAAACTGAAGCCCATGAAGCCCTCTCTTCGACTATCGAAAAGATGGTAACATGGTCAAGGAAATGGTATTTGCCTTTAAATCTTTCAAAATGTTCTGTGATGCACTTGGGCGATGCTCCTTACAGGCCATATTACTGAGAGGATGCAGTTCTTGAGCGTCGGGAAGTAGTGAGAGATTTAGGGGTTATGATTGATGGTTCACTCAAGTTTACCAGCCATTACGAATCAGTCATCAATAAATCATTGGCATCGTTGTTCATGCTCCTGAGAAACGTGCACAGCAACGATTCTGCTTTATTGGTGCGATTGTATAGAACCTATGTTTTACCTCACCTTGATTACGCTTCACCTGTTTGGAATCCATTCCTTAAGAAGAATGCGATGAAACTTGAGAGAGTACAAAAAGTATTTACTCGGATGGTTTTTTACAGATGTTTTCCCAGTACCGATTACCCACGTTGTTTACCGTCATATAGTGAAAGACTTGCCACTTTGAAATTGCGTAGTCTAAAATATAGGCGCATTGTAAACGATTTAGTTTTTTGTTTCCGAATCTTGCATCTGGAAACTAGATTGCAAGCGAGTAAGTACTGGGTTTTCAGGCCGTGTGGGGAACGTACAGGTGGTTTTAATCTACATCATTGTAAACTAGGTAAAAAAATGTTTTTGGCAACTTTCAATTCATTTTTTTGCCGTACATCAAGATGGCTGAGTCTTTTACCAAAAGAAATTGTTTGCAGTAAGAATACTTCTGTTTTTCGTAAAAAATTAGCTTCCATAAATGTGTTAACTACGTTGCATATCCCTGATGTTTAAGAGTTCAATGCTTGCTCTTCATCTAGCCTTCAATGCTTGCTCTTCGTCTAGCCTTTCAACTGCACATCTGTACTCCCCGCTTCTTGCCAGATCGAGTATAGATTGATCATTCTCTGCCTTTTGCATTTGTGTTACTAACCATGATTATGCCTTCACTAACTGTAACCAACCGTCATACCAAAAAGGTGTTCTTTTTACAGTTTCAGGTCACATTGAGTTCTAGCCCCAGACTTTAGACCGTTTTTCTTGGTAGTAGTCATCTATTTTAGATCACACAATCTTGCTTCCTCTAAAATTGAGCTTTATCGGGGTCTAGTCAGCTAGCTTACCGGGGGCTCGCTGGCACCCAAAAAACCGGGTCATCAGAATTTTAGAGTAAGTAAGATCCAGATTCTTTCTTTTAGATTCCCGCAGTTTCGCAGCCTTCTGCGAACGTGTGCACGTCTTAGGTCTAGGGCTCTTCAGCTCCTTTATACTTATGCTCCTATCTCGTGTAGCTACCTTGAGTGGTTGGTTGGTTTTGCAAATTTGTTCTGCATTCTTTGTTTTTTTTGTTAGGTGCACCATGAGTGTAGTAAAATAAATAAAAAAATAAATAAATAAATCTCACCTGCATAGACTTCACGCAACTCATCACACTTTAGTTATATACAGTCGAGTAGATTTCTAGCTTAATATAGTGTGCTTGCACAGAAGGTGAAATGTGGTAAAACTTGCGCGTGAAGAAGTAGCCATGTCAGTACTGCCGGCGCCCGCAATTGGCCGGCGTCTCAGTCGAAACTATCTGTTTACGCGCAAATTTTACGGCATTTCACCTTCTGTGCAAGCACACTATATTAAGCGGGAAATCCACTCGACTGTAGATGGGTGTCAGCGAGGTTGACACGCAAAATTTACGGCCGGTTGTATGGTTCTAGCCATTGGAAGAAGTTTTCAAATGGTCTTATTATGTGTATAACTGCCGGCAAGCACTTACAATTTCAGATTTCTGTCACATGCGGATGCGAAGCCATATCTAGACACCTCTCGAACCATTGCATCTCTTCTTGGCTACATGTACTTTTTCAGGTGCGTCAAACCTTATTTCCTTCTACTCATTTTCTCAAAATCGTCCGCATGACCGATTTTGATACTAGCTCAGTCTTCCTATTCGCGCTATTACCAAGCTGTTGCAAGCTTATTTCTTTTACGTACTCTCTGGCAGAAAAAATTCCCAATTGTCTTTGACATCTCATGTCAGATCATTTACTGCAAAAAAAATGGGAAATTTAACTCTCTGATCAACTTTGCAAATAGGCATTTTCTTGTTAGCAGTTTTTCGGGCTGCCTTAAAACTTCCTTTTACTATTAACTAGATGGCATACCCGGCTCCGCCCGGGGCCAAACTTTGCACACATACACTTCGGGGCAGGGAGCGTGTCATAGTCCACTTTTCGTTATCGATCGATGTCGATTTCACCGATTTTTTGCAAGTTTTGAGCTAGGAGGCTGGGATTTTGCACAGGGGGGTAATCGAACATGCTGATCACCCCCACGGGGGTGATCAGCATGTTCGATTACCCCCCTGTGCAAAATCCCAGCCTCCTAGCTCAAATTTTGCAAAAAATCGATAAAATCGATATCGATCGATAACAAAAGGTAGCCTATGACACGCTCCCTGCCCCGAAGTATATGTGTGCCAAGTTTGGTCCAAATCGGTTCAGAAATAAAAATTTCTATTCCGCACATACGTACAGACAGACATACAGACAGACAGACACACATTCAGCTTTATATATAAGATTGTACGAATTCTTCTCCGGATCGCGGAATGTGCGCTGAGAGTACGATCTCGCAGGAAACGCATTACTTTACCTTGAACGTAACAGACACGCAAGCCAATTCCGATCTGAATATAAGTCTTTTGTCATTGGCTCCTACTTCTCCCACAAAATTCATGTATCCTATGACCCAAGCCTATTCTGAACTGTAAGATTTGATCGAATGTTGCAGCACTCTGATGGGTTTAGCGGTCATGCGAGCTATTGATGGTGTCTGGCAACGTGATGGTGTTTCGCCACTCTTCTGCGTTAATCCTGCACTGTTTCGTCTGCCATTTCTATTCAGTGTCGTAAGTATCTGTACTATGTTCATGATAATCGCTTCAAGATGGTTTACAGCTCTCGCTAGGAGGAATATTGTTTCTGTGGTCGGTGCGCGGCGGTAGAATGCAATTGTACAAAATTGAGCTTGCTCCAGCCAACTATAGTTTCATTCTCATCATCATAGGTCCGTTGATTTTGTCACATTCAAAAGAAAACTCAAATCCAATCTATACATTTTATATAATACCCTTGCGTCTGCCGTTTAGGACAGGTTTAGAAATCCTTGATAACTTGTGAATAGAGTTAGTTTGAGTGTGTCACGTTACTGCATTTTCTTCCTTGTTAGCAATAAGCTGAAGATCACACGATGATTAGTCAGTATCTCATTTCCTGAATGGTAGACGTTTACTTTCGCTGTTTTCTCTAGCAGTACACTCAGAGCGAGCGGGGTGGTTTTCAGTAGCATCATCATTGCTTTTCTTCACTGTTGTGGTGTCTGTCTCATATTACATCGTGTACCTCATTTCTCAACCGAGACTTATTGTGCGAGTTTCCTCATTGTCTTGCGCTGCAATGCAGATATCAGCACTCAAAGGTTCTGTGACAAAAGGTTTTGCGCTGGTTTTCCAAGCAATCTAACTCACTACACTTACTTCGCCTATGTTTTCACTTAGGGTACGGCCATAGGTTGCTGGCAACTGTTGTCTTTGTTGTCCGTTTTGAAGCTGCTAAGTTTTGTTTTGCAATTAGCAGGAGATTGCTTGCAGTTAATTTGAAATAAATGTCTTGTCTCTTCATTCTTTCTTCTATCTTCTATCCACAAACGCTAGGGGTGAGAGAGAGGTGGTAAAGAACGGGGTTGAGGGTCGCGCTGAAGTCCTACCCGGGGGAGGGGGGGGCCTTTTGGCTAATTTGGGTGGGGTTTAGAGACAAAATTGGGGTTTGGAGCTTAATTAGGGCTAATTACAGCATGCCGCGGCAGACTTGCGGAGCACAAAATCGGAGGGCTCCGGTGCACAAAATCGGGGGCTCCGGCGCACAAAATCGGGAGGCTCCGGCGCACAAAATCGGGGGACTCCGGCGCACGAGTGGCAGACCCCCGCTGGGGAAACCCCGCGGCCATGCCATTTCTGCGCCGGAGGGGTCCGATCGGCTGTCTGAATACTCAGACAATGGATCGGACCCCTCCGGCGGAGAAATGGCAGGGCCGCGGGGTTTCCCCAGCGGGGGGTCTGCCACTCGTGCTCCGGAGCCCCCCGATTTTGTGCGCCGGAGACCTCCCATTTCTGCTCCGGAGCCCTCCCATTTTGTGCTCCGGAGACCTCCCATTTGCGCTCCGGAGGCCTCCTATTTTGTGCTCCGGAGCCCTCCCATTTTGTGCTCCGTAGACCTCCATTTTGTGCTCCGGAGACCTCCCATTTTGTGCTCCGTAGACCTCCCAATTCTGCTCCGGAGCCCTCCCATTTTGTGCTCCGGAGCCCTCCCATTTTGTGCTCCGTAGACCTCCCATTTTGTGCTCCGGAGCCCTCCCATTTTGTGCTCCGTAGACCTCCCAATTCTGCTCCGGAGCCCTCCCATTTTGTGCTCCGGAGACCTCCCATTTGCGCTCCGGAGCCCTCCATTTTGTGCTCCGGAGACCTCCCATTTGCGCTCCGGAGGCCTCCCATTTTGTGCTCCGGAGCCCTCCCATTTTGTGCTCCGTAGACCTCCCAATTCTGCTCCTGAGCCCTCCCATATTGTGCTCCGGAGACCTCCCATTTGCGCTCCGGAGGCCTCCCATTTTGTGCTCCGTAGACCTCCCATTTTGTGCTCCGTAGACCTCCCAATTCTGCTCCGGAGCCCTCCCATTTTGTGCTCCGGAGACCTCCCATTTGCGCTCCGGAGGCCTCCCATTTTGTGCTTTGTAGCCCTCCCATTTTGTGCTCCGTAGACCTCCTATTTTGTGCTCCGGAGCCCTCCCATTTTGTGCTCCGTAGACCTCCCAATTCTGCTCCGGAGCCCTCCCATTTTGTGCTCCGGAGACCTCCCATTTGCGCTCCGGAGCCCTCCATTTTGTGCTCCGGAGACCTCCCATTTGCGCTCCGGAGGCCTCCCATTTTGTGCTCCGGAGCCCTCCCATTTTGTGCTCCGTAGACCTCCCAATTCTGCTCCTGAGCCCTCCCATTTTGTGCTCCGGAGACCTCCCATTTGCGCTCCGGAGGCCTCCCATTTTGTGCTCCGTAGACCTCCCATTTTGTGCTCCGTAGACCTCCCAATTCTGCTCCGGAGCCCTCCCATTTTGTGCTCCGGAGACCTCCCATTTGCGCTCCGGAGGCCTCCCATTTTGTGCTTTGTAGCCCTCCCATTTTGTGCTCCGTAGACCTCCTATTTTGTGCTCCGGAGCCCTCCCATTTTGTGCTCCGTAGACCTCCCAATTCTGCTCCGGAGCCCTCCCATTTTGTGCTCCGGAGACCTCCCATTTGCGCTCCGGAGGCCTCCCATTTTGTGCTTTGTAGCCCTCCCATTTTGTGCTCCGTAGACCTCCTATTTTGTGCTCCGGAGCCCTCCCATTTTGTGCTCCGTAGACCTCCCAATTCTGCTCCGGAGCCCTCCCATTTTGTGCTCCGGAGACCTCCCATTTGCGCTCCGGAGGCCTCCCATTTTGTGCTTTGTAGCCCTCCCATTTGTGCTCCGGACCCCTCCGATTTTCTGCTTCGCGGCTCGTCCAAATCTGGCGTACCTCCGGAGCAGAAATGGCGTACCTTTGCAGCAGATCCGGAGAAAGGTCCCACTCGCCTGCCGGTGACGTCACCGCGGCCTACAAGAACGGACCGCCCCCTCGCCCCGCTCTCATTGGTCAACTGGGTCCCCGCGACTCTGGCAGATTTCGACTGTCCGGCGGAGGGGTCCGATCGATTGTCTGAGTATGACTTAACAACTTTGGACTAAAAGGAAACCTCCTGCAAATGCCAGAAAGATCCTTCAAAGAAGCGTGCTGCACCATGTGCAGCACCGGTCCGAAACGTGTTAAAGGGCGCCTAAGACACTTTTCCCCTCACATTTCTGAAAGGGCTTTGAGACCGCTACTGTGCATTTCAGTGGAACCGCCATTTCCGTATTGTTCCGTATCGAGACCGTTTGATGATTGGTGTAGCTGCATTTTAATATCTTGTAAGTTAGCTCATAACTTAGGTCTGATATCAATAACTGCAGTTGAAATCGATGATGCACAAACTGTTTATCGGCAACAGATTGTTAATCGTTCACATTTCTGTAACGTTTCTTTCATTCATCAGCGAACATCGTCAGAAAATTGCTGGGTGAATCAATCCTTCCCAGCACTTGATGTTGACTGCTCGTAGCCGTTGAAGGAGAGCGGGCAAACTCCTGCATAAATATGCAAATGAGGAGTTATGGTCAGTACTCACTTCTATGCTTTTATGTCAACACGATAATCATTGACGAGCGTGAAACATGACAAATAGATTTAAGGCTTTCATCACCTTTCCATCGATTTTAGGCATGAGTGCGTGAAACTCGTGAAAAGTTATTCTTCGTCTATCATAAATTCTGTAGTGTCACTCACCTGTTAGACCACAAATCCAATGAAGATGCTTCCGCACGTCGGTAAACCGATCTGCAACAGCATAAGTGAATGCATGCTATCGCACAAACTTAAGCCTTGGGAAGAGGAAGTTTTGGGAAGAAAGATATTCATTCTCTTAAACATTGGCTCATCAGCGTTAAAATACCAAAGTAGGAAAACTTCGCTTTACAGTCTCGAGTCGCTTGCAAGGGGAATTCTGAAGTGCTGTTTATGGTCTTCACTGGATGTTCGTGTTCAGAATGACCTGTAGAAATGCCACGCTGGGATGTATTATATTAGGCGGTTTTGATCAAAAAATAGTAAAAGCTTAACTAAATGCCCTTCTCAAGACGTATCTTCGAATAGAAGAATGAATTTCACCAAGACGCTTTTCTGTTACTAATTATTGTTCCTTCCAATAATCTATTGCTTACATTGTGAGGACTCAATGACGGCATTCTCCTCTACCGTTTATTTTCGAAAACCTATGCTTGAGCTTTGTGACTGGTATCCTTTCGTGAAAAGTCGAATCTCAGACCCCTGTTATATTGATTATCACAAGGAGATTCTTCTGCTTCCCGTTATCTGGACCCATTTTTTCAAAAAATAATATCACCACTCTTTTGAACCATATTTAGCCCCAATTTCACAGAAAAGAATGTCAATCCCCTGCCACCTGTCAGAAAAAATTTACGTGTCATCTACACGTTTGAGTTTTACATGAGTTTGTCTTGCCTACATGTCAAAGTTATTTGAATGCATTTTCCAGTTATTAATGTGCACTTTTTTGATTCAATAACCTCAAAATGAACATTTACATCACAAGCATCCTGCTTTCCAGAACATATTACATTTGCCTGGAATAGAGAGTTGTCTAGGCTACTAGAGCGGTGAAGCAAGCGGCAGCGGGGTACTTCAAGCCATCTGTGCCATCTTGGTTGAATTCGCATGGGAAAGTTTGAAGAGGGATAGTTTTGAAGCACTGTCAAAAGCGAGCAAGATGTTCCAATTAATGTTTTGGATTGTGCTTCCATAACAGCCAAACAGCTTTTGACTCGTCTCTGATACTTGCTTACCCTAACAGAAGTGATTTTGAAAAAAAACATGTCAAACTAAACCGAAACGTGTTAGCTTCTTCCTTGACACGTGGCGGAGAGATAGTTCCTCATAGGATCTATGAAAAAATTTTTCTAGAATATAGCACGTATTTCATAAGAATTTCTAGATAAAATGGATCGGAACATAGCGGGAAATTATCCAAAAAATAGCAAGCTCTACCCACTGCTCAAGCATAAACATGAAAGATCCAGCAATAGCCGAAGATCTTGGATTTTCTGCTACATATGCTGTGCTGTTTCCTTATCTGGCATATGAACTGTTACTGGATGACAACGAAGCGATCATTGCACCACTAACTATTATATTAGGTTGTTGCAAAAGTTCTGTCGTTTCATTTTCAAAAATTAGTAACCTCGCGAAATTTAAAAGGATTTGCTTGCTTGTAATTTTATTAGAAAGAATAAGTCTTTCGCTTTCAAATGCTGTTCCGTGGAGCTTCTGTTTCATACTGGGTGCGGAAATAAAAATGGAAAACTAAGGCTATATAAGCTTTGACCATTTTAAGTTAGGTCACCAAAAATCTGGAATACTGCAGAAAAATCTGAAATCGTCAGTACATATGTTTTTCGGCCTACCCTTTGCATCTGTGAAGAGCTTGTGCTGTTTGGACGTCTCTGTGAGAAGTTATGATTTTCGCGAAAATTGACAAATTAATTAATTTTGGCGTTTTCCATAGTAAACTCGATATTCATAACTTCTCACAGAGACGTCCAAACAGCGCAAACTTTTCACAGATGCAAAGGGTAGGCCGAAAAACATATGTACTGACGATCTCAGATTTTTCTGCAGCATTCCAGATTTTTGGTGACCTAACTTAAAATGGTCAAAGCTTATATGGTCTTAGTTTTCCATTTTTATCTCCGCGCCCAGTATGAAACAGAAGCTCCACGGAAAAGCATTTGAAAGCGAAAGACTTATTCTTTCTAACAAAATTACAAGCAAGGAAATCCGTTGGAATTTCGCGGAGTTACAAATTTTTGAAAATGAAACGACAGAACTTTTGCAACAACCTAATATTAGGTTGGCACGAAAGTTTGCTTAAATCAAACAAAATTCAATAACTTTTCAAAGACTAAACCTAAATTCTCAATCTTGTATGCTAAAAATATTAGAAGCCTTACGCTTCATGATGAATGTTTAAACGTAAGATTCCGTGAGCTGGACATCAAGAACGAAGCTCTCGAATATGGGGCTTCAAATTTTGCGCTTTTGAGTTTGGTGCCAGAAAATCGCAGGGGGCCGCTAGCTAGCCGAAAAAAATCTGTAGAATTTACTTACACTGCAAAAGTATATGTTACTTTGGAAGGCTTTGATCTTGCACAATGAAGCAAAAACAAAAAATTCGTGAAATATGTCGTTTTGCGGGAAAAAATCCCCTCAAGTCCGCAGTTTTCCGGCGAAAACGCTTTTTTACAATCGAGAAAACGTAGCAAGGCTCTAAATAGGCACTATGTCTAATTTCTGGTTGCAAATTGTGTTTATGTGGAAAAATTATAGCGATAAGAGGATTTGTCCTGTGAAATGAGAAATTTCACAAGTTTTTTACTTTCGCATTTCCATGCGAGATCAAAGCCTGCTAAAATAGCGTATGGACTTTTGCTGTGTAAGGAAATTCCACAGATTTTTTTTCGGCTAGCTAGCGGCCCCCTGCGATTTTCTGCCACCAAACTCAAAATCGCAATATTTAAGGCCCCATATTTGAGAGCTTCGTTCTCGATGGTTAGCTCATGGAATGTTGTGCTTGAACTTCCATTATGGAGCTTGAGACTTTTAATATTCTTAGCATACAAGATTGTGAATTTAAGTTTAGTCTTTGAAAAGTTATTGAATTTTGTTTGAATTCACAAAAACTTTCGTGCCAACTTAATATATCCAATGCTAACATAAGTTAACAAAGTTGGTGAAGCTTGTTACGTAAATGATAAGCAACTGGGTCCTTTGAGATATCTGCCAGGTTTTGAAGTAAATAAGGGTAAGGCCAAAAAGCATGTTTTCTCAGTATTGTTGAGTAGGACAAGCTTATACACTGTCTCAACAAAACTCAAGCTATTAGTGTTGCGCGTCTTTAGAACACAAGTTGAGGTTTTTGTCAAGGGCCCTATAGAAACAAGTTAACAGCTGGATATCGGCTTTTTACTGGTCCTTGCCACTGATAGAAGCCACCATAATACCAATCCTACACGATATACAGGGTGCGGAAAAATTACTGTCCCTCAAAATATAGTTTGAAAAATCGGCGTAATTCACAGCTTTTTCTGATAAATTTGACATAATTCCCAAGATATGGATATATTTTAGCATTTTACAAAAACTGGCCTCAAAATTCTACAAAGGGACACGGCGGCGGATCCATTTTCGCAGCCCATTTCATATCGAAACTTGCAACTCCCCTTTACAGATGTGAAGAAATGTGAAGGTTTTTGGGAAATTTTTTCTTTGTCACGCGAAATTGAGAGATCCTTTACTGGTTGAGGAATGTGGTAGTGGATACCGAAATATCCTGAAAGTAGCCAGTCAGCAATTGCACTAGGAGAAAAGCTGTGAATTTTTCTAACGAGAAAGTGGGTGCGGCGCAGCAGAGTGCGTTCAGAAAACGTGGCACAGAGGCTAGGTATAATCGTTTATCGCTCCAAAATCGTGTTGTAGACAAAGTCCGATGCTCTTTTCATTATTTCTGTCACTTTTTGTTGTAATCTGGAACTTCGAAGCATAGCATAGATCCAATTCGTTAAACAAGCGCAGTCCTGACTCGCCTCTTTTCAAGAATTTTTGCGACTTGCGTGTAATACAATCTTCCTTATTCGGCCAAAGCAAGAATCACTAATCCATAGTTCCTACGGTGGGTATAGAATATTGTAAAGAGATCATGCGCTACACACCAGCTTATTTGAACCTTATATCAATGCTGGTGGTATAGTCACGGTCCAAAATTGCGCTTATATGCTAACGGCGCATCGTTAATTTTCGTGCGCGCTGTTATCACTCGTTCAAATGAACAGAAGCAAACAGTTTCAAATCAAACTTACCTTTATTCAAGCTCAAGGATCTCGTCTACGTATGGGAATCAAAAAACTACAGATTTGCTTTATGCTTGAGGTATTTCAGGAGACAAGTTGGAGGGACAGTACTTTTTCCGCACCCTATATATCCCTCGCCTGCCTCACTTTCTATATGCCAGCTCCCTGGCCAGACCGCTGAAAAATTGCTAAATCGATAAATAAAGAGAAGTAGCTTATGGCAGCCTGCCCCGTCCCGAAAGTATGTGAATGTACCCGTTGTATCAAGGGGGTCCTAGGGAGGGAGTCCTTATGCTGGGTGGTGCAATATAGTCGTACACGAACTTGCAAGAACAGCTGGCCGGGCCAATTTGAATCCGTGGTCGCCCAGGTCTCAATCGGGCCATGGCTTTCAAACCATTGCTTCAAAGTGGCCCGGTAGAAGGGTACACAATATTGCTCCATTCCCTAAAACTATCCTTCCATTTTCTTTGTGTTATGGTCTGAACTAGCAATGCCTATCTCTTTCCTCTTTCCTGCTCTGGCTTCAAATCTGCCGTATGTGCCTTCCGTCGTAAATTTGTCTTCGTTCTTAGCTGCTTCGAAACACCATTTTGTCTTCATCACGAAAGGTAAATGAGCTTGATCAACCTTTCTATGAACCTTGGGAAAACACAAGAATGATAGGTAAGCTTTCAATTCATTCATCGCCGCGAAAAGTGCCTATAACAATCGCCATGGCTTATTTGTGGAGGCTCGAAATTCACATTGCTTCACATAAAGAGATTTGTATAATGAACATACATACCGAGAAATTTACACACCTTGAGTTTCATGTGTATATCGATTGAAGCACGTTAATTCGATAAAATAGTTTCACGAGATTATTAGTCTAAATCTGCGCGGGTGTTCAAATTGCAGTGGTCTAGACTAGTATTGTTGAATCATTCACTTCATCGAAAATCAGGCTCAAAAGTGTTTGCAGTAAACGCCGTACCAAAAATGTTGGTAGTTTACAACATCCTGTGTTTTCAGATGCGGTTTTGGAACAACCTTTCAAGAACTTTCGAAAGGAACTTGATGTTAGTGTGGAGCTTTCGTGAATGCTTAGATGGGTCTCACCAAGCAAGGTAAAAGAACATTCAATGCTTATTAACACATTTTGTTATTCATTGTATTATAATAACTTTGCATTAGTAAACATCGTCATACTTGCTATAGGCTTCCATCCTTTTGGATCTGGGTCGTCGTTATTTCCCGATGTTATACCAAAAAGATAGTGTTTCCCATTCAGCTTTTTAACTAGCGGCCCACCACTGTCTCCCTAAAAAGATATAGAATATATTTAACCGTACGATCAGCTCATTTACAACTTTTTCAAATTCTTGACGCTTTCTTGGAAAAAATAAGACACTTTAACACACCTCCGAGAGCAAAATCATTTCGCATCTCTAGTTCTAGCAGGGGAAGACACCTAACCTAGACTAGCTTTTCATGAAGAGACATACATGGTTGGATTGAAACGCTGATTCCAAATATGCTGACTCTAGCCGCTGCGTATCATTGCATAGCGAGTTAGCCTTTTTCTGTAAGCTGCATGCTCATTGAATCACTATTACGTATCATCACGTAACTGCACACAGCATATGTTTCTTATCAATGACAAAAGATTTGATCTTATGTTATTTTGATACCTTAGCAACTTTTTTGTATATTTCTATTAAAAAGCATTCTTCTTATGTTGAGTAGCATGCCAATTTCGCACAAAAAAAGCTCATAACTTACTTCACAACTAGTGAACCAGCAATTGAAGGTGCTAGTAGCATGCGCGCGCTACGGGACCGCCACGTGGTTTCCCGCTATGTGCACATTTTTGAACTGCGCTTACGATTCTTTATATATTAGATAGATTAGATAACGCGCCGCAGCTAGATACAGCATCTGGAATCAGCGTTCGAAGCTAGTCCCAAACAGGTATGCCTCTCTTTAAAAGCCCAATCTGACAAGGAATGCATACTCAGTCGAAGTCGCTATTTTACATGGTATGTACATCATACTGAAATGCATAAAATGCTGATTCCGAAACTGCCTTTCTTATCTGCAGAACGGTCATGGACGAGGAGTCATGAGTGCTTATTTGAAAAATTGATCGTGCAAGTAGGACAAAAATAGCCGCATTACTTTTTCTAGCTCTTCAATAGGCAGTGATAATTATCAGAGCACTTTATGCAAAAAATACTTTGAAATGGAATATATATCACACTAAGCTGCATTATTTTAGAGCTAGTAAAACTTTAGCAACTCATTTTATCCAAAATGCACATTCAATTTTTGGCTCCAAAAAACGTTCATAACTCCTCGTACACTAACGTTCTGTAGATAAGGAAGGCATTTTGAAATTAGTGTTTCATGCCTTTAATATGGTATACATCCTTCTATATAAAGCTGAATGTCTGTTTGTATGTCTGTATGTATGTCTGTATGTATGTCTGTCTGTCTGTCTGTACGTATGTTCCGAATAGAAAATTCCATTTCTGAACCGATCCGGACCAAACTTGGCACACATACACTTCGGGCCCCGGCGGGTGTCATAGGCTACTTTTCGTATCGATCGATATCAATTTTATCGATTTTTTGCAAAAAATTGAGCTACGGGGCTGGGAGTTGACACAGGGGGGTAAGTGAGCATGGGGATTCCGAATACAATATTAGTTTTTAAAATCGTGCATTACTTTTATCGATTTTATCGATTTTTTTTGCAAAGTTTGAGCTAGGGGCTGGAATTTGGCAGAGGGGTGTAATCAAGCATGCTGATCACCCCCACGGGGGTGATCAGCATGCTCGATTACCCCCCTGTGCCAACTCCCAGCCCCCTAGCTCAAATTTTGCAAAAAATCGATAAAATCGACATCAATCGATAACGAAAAGTGGACTGTGACACCCGCCGGGGCCCGAAGTGTATGTGTGCCAAGTTTGGTTCGGATCGGTTAAAAAATGGAATTTTCTATTCGGAACATACGGCGGAGCCGGGTATGCCAGCTAGTCTCTTTTGAAAATGCCACTTTGATTAGACAAGCTTTTCTTGTGAGTAAGGTGCCTTCTCTTGAGCACCCGATCGACGATAAGCGTATTGCCTTAGCTTACACCGACTATTAATCCATTCCTATACTTCGTGTAAGCCACGATAGTTTTATTTCCGTAAAAGTCATATATTTCATCGTAAGCCACGGCTTCCAAAGGAGAATTGGAACCTGAAATCAGAAGTTGAGTAGCTATAGAATAGAATAGTAGATATATAGTTTTTTGGACTGCCATATTAGATGGGATTTTTTGAAGGCAGCTTATCAATACTTGCTCTTGGGATAGGGGATCGGCAGAAGCTGGAATTAGGGATTTTTGTGATGAAGTTTTCCTGTAATTGCAAATTCTTTACGAAGTCCTTTCAGACCTTCCTCAATTGGGCTGTTTTTAAAAGACGGATCCTAGTGCAGAAACTAGGAATAAACCATCAACCAATATAGATTTGAAGAAAGATAAGCATCGATGAACAACGAACACCGGTGCGTGCTGATTCGCGCTCTTCCATTTCTATTACATCGAGCGTGGAAGAAATATGAAATTATTTCGCTAATGTACAAGCTTTCAACACGCAGGGACGGTTCATGAAAAAAACATGTAATTACGTGAGCAAAGAGTTAGGTCAGCTCAGCTTGTTTACTGATGGCCCAGCTTAAAGGCAGTGTCCGGGCAAAAACTCGATTTTGAGATTTTGTACTTACCCGGGCCTATTCGCTACGTTAGATTCAAAAATGCACATTGGAGAGCGCGAGAACGGCGAAATACGGCTCTAACACAGGAGGGAAATTAGCAGATGGGCGGGGACCTCCCCACTGTGATTTCATGCTCCCAGATTCCGGAGCGAACTTCTCGGTTCCGATTTCATGTCACGCATTCGCACTTAGCCTGTGGAGATGCCAGGATGGCTAGCGGAATTGAGAAGATAGTCCGAAAGCCGGGAACGTGAATTGACAGTGGGGAGGACTCCGCCCACTTCTGATTTCCCTCCTGTGTTAGAGACCTTTTTTGCCGTTTTCGCGCTCTCCAGTATGGATTTTCGGATGCAGCATAGCGAATAGGCCCTGGTAAGCACAAAATCTGAAACTCGAATTTTTGCTCGGACACTGCCTTCAAATGCAGCGGCTCGGCAGAATGACAACTTTGGGATATTCGCCGTCCTCGGTCCGCCTGGATGAGCTAAGTCCAAAACTGTGCTTTGCAGCTCAAAGATACCAATAACCCGCTTTTCCAGACGTGAATGCTGTTTGGGCGTGTCGCGAAAGTGGCTGCTGGAGCCAGTAATCTAAGCCGCCGATAGGGTACGGTGTCTCCATTCCGAGCCAATCGCGCTCTAAAGGGCAGGCTTACTCCGTCCGCCCAGATTGCACTTTTTATGGCTGGGAAACCGGGTTAGTGATAACTTTTGAAGCTGCAAAGCACAGTCTTGGTCTTAGCTCATCCAGGAGAACTGAGAACGACAAATATCCCAAAGTTGTCATTCTGCCGAGTCGCTGCATTTGAAGGCTTCCTTCAATTCTCTATTCCCGCAGTGCTATAATCAGCATGCTCACTTACTCCCCTATGCCAATTCCGAGCCCCGCAACTCGAACTTTGCAAAATCCATGGAATCAATAGAACTAACGGACAATTTTGAAAACTATTATTGTGATCGTAATCAGCATGCTCACTTACCCTCCTGTGCCAACTTCCAACCTCGAACTTACAAAAACCGATAAATTCAATGGAAGTAATCGACAATTCTAAAAACTAAGTTGGTATCCGTACTCAGCATGCCCAACCCCCCCCCCTCCCCTCCCAACTTCCAGCCCCATAGGTGAAATTTAACTAAAAATCGATGAGATCGATATCGATCGATGACCAAGAGTAGCCTTTGACACCCGCCCCGCGAAGTGTGCTGGGTGTTCAAAGTGCCTACTGTTTGATTGTTGATAACTCTTTTATAATGAACTTTTTCAAGAAGCTTTGACTACGGTTTTGTAGAACTGCTTCGACTTAGTTTCACAGTAGAGAGCGACTCACCGATCGCTCTTTTTACTGTAGGATTACGGTAGAAACTTCAAGTATATGGTGTCACTTTGAAAAAGAGCTGCCGTTTCAAAAAATTGAAAAAAATGCGAAGACTTGTGTAATAGGATTTTCATGAACGCTGAGTTAAATACTCAATTATTTATTGCGAAGCTTTCTAAACGGGTAACCGCACTTTTTAGGAGCATTGAAAAAACGGCCGCTACTGTTTACGTCGCATAACTTTTCAATGAAGCATCATAATAAAATGCGGACCTCACATTTAGAATCAGCAACTCAAATTAGCCCAGTATGAAACTCTTCCAACTGTTTTGTTTCCATTCTGAGGCAAAATATGACCCCTCATGGCTCAAAACCCTCTTGAAATGTCTGCCGTAGTCCCACAGTAATAAAGAGAGATGGGAGATTCATTCTATACTGTAAATCTTCCCACAGTAATGAAGAGAGATGGGATATTCATTCTATACTGTAAATCTAAGTTGAAGCTAGCTCTACAAAATGACACTTAGCTTCTCGAAAGACTTCATTACAAGTGAGTTATTAATAATCAAGCAGTAGGCACATCTTTTGGGGCACCCGGTATATGTGCCAAGTTTGGTCCGGATTTGTTCAAAAATAAAATAATTTTTATTCGGAACATACGTACAGACAGACGGCAGGCAGACAGAGACACAGACAGACGTACAGACAGACAGAGAAACAAACATTCAGCTCAATCGTTGATATCTCTCTTCCCATTGTATCTTTTTCCGCCGTTTAAGTATCATTCTGTAGAGGAGGCTTCAACTTAGATTTACAGTATCAAGCGCATCACCGATCGCTTTGGGTGCGTAGCAAGTGGTACCCAGGCAGCCGACTGCTGCCGCAGTCAGCCGCCGCAGATGGTACAGTAATTATGCTCGTCGTCTAAACTTCTGCCGAGAGGTTTTCTCGCACCTCGCCACTCTGAGGTGCGATATCAGCCTCGGTAAAGCGTGATATCCTCGACATCTATATCGTTTTGAACAGCAGAAATTTCATGTTATTGAAAAGATGCAAATAAACAAAGGTAAACAGAGGAGGATTTTTTAAAGAAAGATGATCACTAATCAAACTTCTTCGAAAACTCAAAGGAAGCAGAAGCTAAAAAATTTAGGAATTCTTTAATTTCTAGAGATTTTCTTCTCGCTTTCACGTCGAAGAACGGACGAAAACAGTTACAGGAAAATGTCATGAATGTAACGGTAAGAAAATTCTGTCAAAATATCATTTCATGTACATACTGATAAACAGAACTACAGTCATTGGACATTTATTGTACTTTGATTTCAAAATGTGCAACAGAAAAAACTGTTTGATCTCCTATTTTTGTAATAGTTTGTAATTTGAATATTCTCCGGCGTAGTTTTGTACTCGACTGCATGGTTCTCAATGAATATGGCATTTCTCTGCTGTTTAAAATGATATAGATGTCGAGGATATCACGCTTTCATTGACCTACTCAATTTGATTGTCCTACTTTGCCTCGCTTGATCACTATGTATGAAATAATCATTTTCCCGAGCTTTCTTACCGTTATATCTATAACATTTTCCCGTAAGTTTCCATCCGCTCTTCAACGTAAGCGAGAAAAATTTAGAAATTTAAGAACTAAAATTTTCCGCTTCTGCTTCCTTTGAAGTGGATTGATTTTGTGATCATTTTACTTTAAAAAATTCATTTGCATGTTTATCAAAAAACATGAATTTTTTCTGTCTGAAATGATATGGATAACAAGGATATCATGCTTTTCTGAGGCTGATATCGCACTCAGCGCGGCGAGGTGCGAGAAAACCTCTCGGCAGGAGTTTTAGACAACGAGCGTAATTACTGTACCATCTGCAGCGGCTTTGCTGACAGCTTTGGCGGCTGGCTGCGGCAGCAGTCGGCTGCTTGGGTACCACTTGCACGCCTCCCATCGCTTTTGATTACTATAGGATACTGTAGGAACTTTGACAAGGTTCTTAGGCCATTGGAACCCATATTTTCTGCCCCGGAACTAAACCAAACAAGAAAACTCTTATACTATGGTAATGAAAGCCGCTAATTTCGAATATGAAATTTTCACTTTACTGTGATGCTTCTTTTCAAAGTTATCCCAGGTGAACCGTAACAACCGAATTCACAGTATCTGTCAGAAATGTGATTACACCGTCAAAAAAAGCTAAAAACACTTATAAAAAGTTGTGTAATGGAATTAGCGTGCGCGAAAACCCTAATATATGATTTTTCAGATTTTTTGGGAAAAAATTTTGTATGGCATATTTCACGGTGGTTCCGCTTGCTGGAAGTTCTTACCGTAATCCTATAGTAAAGAAGAGCTAACGGTGAATCGCTCGATATTGAAAATCTAAGTTGAAGCCTCCTTTACAGAATGGTTTTGACTGGCAAAGAAAGACCCATTGGGAAGAGAGGTATTGACAATTGAAAGTGTGTACTTACTTTTGGGACACCCTGTATATATTATCGAAAATTTGCTCAGTGGGGCGATCAAATGCGCTGGTATAAACCTACTCGTTCGTCAGCGGAGGCGAGTACGGTAGGTGTATGGTAGTCCACCAATTCTAACGAATCTTTTCAAATATCTGCCTGGGTGGGTTGCACAGTGCGCTGATTAGCAGGTGTGGTTTCGTAATCAGCAGGTCAGACAACCTGTGTGGGGAAGTTTTCAAAGAACTTCGGGTCGTTTGCTTTTTCTTGTTTCACGCTCTGAAGCTCGCCAATGGATTTTGGTCGAAATGATGATGATCTTGGTTTCAAAGGAAACTCCGCTCATAGAGGCTCTCGAATACGCTGCTTATGAAAATCATGTTCTCTGTCGGGTACAGGGTCTTCTGCAGATATGGAGGAAACTACCCTAAAATCCCGCCAATAAGTCCGGCCTTATCTGCATCTTTTGACACGAAAAATTGATAAAAAATCGCCCTCTGCGCTGCCAGAAGTCTAGCAGATGAATTCTCCCATCAGACCGCAACAGATCTGCTAGACTTCTGGCAGCGCAGAGGGCGATTTTATCAATTTTTTGTGTCAAAAAATAGATAAGGCCGGACTTATTGGCGGAATTTTAGGGTATAACTGAATAACGAAAGTTCGTACATTCGCCTGCACTTCTTGCGTATCTGTCAGGGAACTTGCTTGCTTGCTTTCTAAATAAAAGTTACTAAAAACTATGCTATCGAATGGTGTATGCTCCACGCTTCAACCTGTTACAATCGCCGACTTACGAGCCTACGAAAACACCTGCTCATGAATTTCTTCCAAAATGTAAAGATCGCTTACTTTATCGAAATTCCACTGTGAGTGGTTGTATGACATTCAAACTGCTGATGTTATATTCACTTCGCCTAAAGGATCTCACTGTGTTGAATTTGGTCGTTGCGTGTGCTTCAGCTGCTCAGTTAAATATCAAAGCAACTTCGTGGCTAGAGCTCGGATCTATCTAACTACCAAATTTGACACGATGAGACCCATTAAGCGGTGCGAAGATTTGATCTGCGAGTTACACAGGCACTCACGGTGGCATTTCAACGAGGTATGCGATCTTCAAATTTTAGACAAAATTCATGAGTACGTGTTTCGTAGGCTCGCAAATCGGGAATTGTTACAGACTGCAGCCGAGACATGCACCATTCGTTGGCAAAGCTCGTTGGTGACTTTAACCTATAAAAGAAAAAGGCAAGTTTTCTGACAAATACGCGAGGCAAGTTTTCTGACAGATACGCGAGAAGTGCAGGCGAATTTACGAACTTTCGTAAATCAGTTGCAATTTCCTTATCATATATGTAAAAGACCATGTACCCAACAGAGAAGACGATTTTCATAAACAACGTGTTCGAGAGCCTCTATGAGCGGAGTTTCCTTTGAAACCAAGATCATCAACATTTTGACCAAAATCCACTGGCGAGTGAGCCTGAAACAAAAAAAAAACAGACAAGCTGATGTTCTTTGAAAACTTGCTCATAGGGGTTATCTGACCTGCTAATTTCAAGACTCACATCTGCTTAGCAAGATAGCTTCGTATTCTAGAGCTATAGCGGGTAGAATTTGGGATGACAAGATTTTTTTACAATTCACCAGCCCTTCTATCTCCTTTGGAAAGAAGTCTGCCTCTGCTTTGAGCGCTCCATAATATACAAAAAACCTATCGAACGCTCCTTGGTGAAATCTACTAAGTTTACACCGCTGCTTCACACCTTTACAAAAAGAACTATGCAGAAAAATTCAAAAGTACTGAATGGAAAATCAAAAACCTGCTGTATATCGAAAGGTTCGCCTTAATGTGCTGAGCAAAGCGCTTTTGGGGATTTAGAATATACTTATTCCGAAGGAAGTCACGGCGAGAAGAACTCGGAAAATCGTGATTTTTCCAGAATTTACCAACCATTCTATCGCTTCTGGAAAGAAGACTGTGGATATTTTTGGCGCGTGTTGATCTATAAGAAAAGTACTATCGAATAGTACTTATTCGGATTTTCTAAGTTGGAGAGAGGTTGCGTTACATCCTTTGCGAAGGAAATCGCAGAAGATTTGAGAATACTGGAAACGGAATGTCGAGGACATGCTGTACATCAAAAGGTGTCTTGACAAGCTAAACATAGAACTGCTTTTGGATGAACATTTTCATTCGGAAGGAATTTATGGAGCTGCGTAATTTGCGTGATTCCTTTGATTCTGCGGATTGAGCGGTATAGTATTAAGGAAGTCATTTTGTGGGATTTGTTTGGATTTTCGCAAATGTCGCCACACCTAATGTGTGTAATCAGCGCACTGTGCAATCCAACCCAGCAGAAAGTTGATTCGTTAAAACTGGTGGACTACCATACACGTAACGTAATCGTTCCGTAGCCGAACGAATTCATTTATCACCAGCGCGATTGATCGCCCCACAGAGCAAATTTCAAAAAATATGTATGTGCAAATTGATTTTCACCGTGCAGCCGTAACTCTACAGTATACCACCACTGCAACAAATAAATATTGTTTTTGTGATGAGCACATAGAACAAGCCCTCTATGCAGAGCCTCAGGCGCATCCGTGTAAATTGGCTTTCTACCATATACTAGTGCCCAACTTTCATCAGAAGATAATCCACGCCGAGCTGAGTCGGATTCATATCTCGTCTACTTTGAAGCGGGATATGGCCATGCGACGGTCATGTTACATGAAAGGCGACCCTTACATAACTCACGCGACCTTCGCATGACTTACGAGACGATCGCCTAAGTCCACTTCAATTTGGGTATTTTTTCAAAAAAAATGTGAGCGTTATTGTACATCCCATGTTGAGGAACTTTGTACAGCAGCACAAATTCGGATGGCATCTAGAAGATTAACTTCTTCGAAGCGCCGCTCGATACAAAGACGTTTAAATTGCTAGTCCTCCATAGTTGATCAGAAAGAGACCTTGATAAATTTCAAAAGGTGCCCCATTACTTCTGGATTACCCTATTATTTGCGGCACAGTTTTGGATCGCCAGGGAAATCTCTTTCCACGTAAGAACGACGTTTCCTTTGCTTTCTTTCAATACTAGCTTGACCCAATACCAGCTGCGCCCGGCCCCTCTATCGTAGGAGCATACGCAGTTTGAATTGGTTGATGCCATTCTGGAGTTTTGATTCGTTTTTGATTCCGTCTACGGAACAAATTTGGCAAGTGTGCAGTGAATTTAGCACTAACTCCCATAAGCTACCCACCAGGCTTCATACCGTATCCGATAGATTTTCCGTAAGAGATACGATCATTCTCTTGAGGCATACAAATTGGCAAAAAATTTACATCCCGCTTGAGCTCGATCACAGCAATATCGTATGAAGCACTTTCCGTTTGAAGTTCGTTCACGTCATAGTTTAGATGCGCATACACCTCAACGAGCAATTTCAAGTTGACGTACTAGTGTCTAGTTTTGCGAACGAATTAGTTTGCTTTACTTACAAATGCCGCTTCATAAAAGTGCTCCAAGTCTTTAGGCCAGCACTTTGCGTGTACGCACCTGCTTCCAAGAAAAACACCAATCTCCTGGGCTATAAACCGTCCCAATCGTAATCTGGGGGAAGTTTCTATAAGCGACGATAATAAAGTAAGGCAATCATTACCCATTCTTCTCGACTAAGCAATGCGCGGCAGTCAGGATGTGGCGGGATGAAATCAGCACGCCGCTGCAGAGGGGATAGGTGATGTTTTTCTCGTTATACCAACCGTTGTTGTAGGGGTAGGAGGTTTTGTATGTGCGAGCCACTGCAAAACGCTCAGGATTGATTGTTCATGCATTTGCAAGCTTGTAAGAAATGCATTCACTAACCTCTAATTTGTGACAATGCAGCAACAAATGGGTACTCCGACTGGTCGACTCGTAATCTGCTTTCCGTACTCTCTATCAAATTTGCTAGCCCTTTTGAATGACTCTCCGACCAAATGCCTAGAGAAAAACAAAACTGTCATTTTCAGCTGAGTCGTTTTTACAAAGGAAAGTTACTCGATAACGGTGGTTTCCCAATGAAACACATATCACTGAATGCGTCTCAAAATGCTAATCACAAAACTGCTTTCGCTATCTACAAAGCGATCATCGGAAAAGTTATGAACTTTTTTTTTATTTTTGCACATTTGTATTCAGAATCATTGATATGAGTTTTTTTTAAATAATGACCAACTGGGACAGGCAACTCAGAAAGCGTGAAACAATTGCCCTGCTCTTCAAATGTTGCTCCGAAGAGCGAACCGAGAAAATAGGGCGATTTTCGCAGTTTTGCTCAACCAGAATAGTGCATTTCTGCAGTGGATTGAACGCTCCTAACTACTCAAATATTTGCAGTTATCTCTCGCAAGTGATCCGTCCACGAAATGAATGAACGCACCAAAATCCGGTGCACCGGCAAGAGTCATTATTTTGATTATGCTCCGATTTTGATGCGATCTTGTCCAAAAGCGTGGGTGCATGTATAAACGGTTCAACTCCAAATTACTGAATTTATTCTGTACCAGTGCGTCACCTCTGCTTCGCAGAGGCTGCAGTGGTCTACCATCCTCATGCCTTCCTCGTATTCTCAAAATGATCGCTTCAAAACTTACCGTGATGTCAATCATAGCGAATGATTTCTAAACAGCTGCTCATTCCAAATGCTTTCTTTAAATGAATGTCGGTGACTTTGGAAGGAAGAAAAGATTGTTCAAAGTATAAATGCGAGTACTTACGAGTCATAATGGTTTGATAGCGGCCGTAAGAATGATAGCAACCGTGAGTTATATCTCTGAGCAAAAATCTTCTCAGTTTCTTAGGCAAAACCTTGACAAGTCAATTATCTACGCAAGAATATTTCTGGCTTGATCTTGCATGAACTAGACATGTTGGTCACTTAGTTCGGGCTGGAGTACATTGCGGATTTACTTATCAAACAAATCCACGACTTTGGAAGAAGTTCAATTAATTAAGATCCGTTTGGCGCACATTTTCAGAGGTTCCACTTATCGAATCGGCTTGTGTTTTTGCACACTCTACCTACATGCTGGTAGGGTGCTACTAACAATTCTAGCCTAAGATCTTTGCTGGAATACGCACCACGAACCAACACACACACACACACACACACACACACACACACACACACACACACACACACACACACACACACACACACACACACACACACACACACACACACACACACACACACACACACACACACACCTGATTATAATCATGCTCTATCGCTAGAAGTCCAACTTTGGGGTAATCGCTCTCATTTCTTGCTCTGTTACATATAAGCAAGGGTTGCCATGACTGCTACAGCTTATCCTTGACACGCTTCGGACCGGTGCTGCACATGGTGAAGCACGCTGCTTTAAGGATCTTTCTGGCGTTTGCAGGAGGTTTCCTTTTAGTCTAAAGTTGTTAAGTCAAAGGTCTAAGCTCCTAATTTTCAAATGACTCTGTAGAGTTGTGCCGCCGATATTTTTTAGGAGATATGAGCACAAATCGAACAACAGTTGCAACGAAGTGCGGCGACGCGAACGACGCGTGCGACGTCGCAACTTTCCTTTACTTCGATATCAAAGAGAAAAACCGTAGTTTTAGTACTGATGCGTACCGCTTACAGCATAGATACTTTTTGATATTATCAGAAATGAGTTCTTGTTCCTGTCTTTCAGGAAAGCTCAGAAGTCCTTCTCAAGCGACGAAATTTAAACACTTTGGATTCATTCAAAACTTTGGGTGTAGAACTTATCTGATAAGCTAATTATAGATATAGCACACAGTCTCCGAAATAAGGTCCCTTTGTTGGCTAACGGCTGAAAGTACCCTCTTTTTCGCCGTGCGCGGTCCGAAACGTGTTAACCACTTCGATTTAAGAAAGGCCTATCATATAATAATGTTTGATGTGGGATACACTGCATGCTCCTGATTCATTGCTTTTATATACGCCATTTCACTATTGGCACATCATGCTGACTTGAAAATCCAATCCAAAATAAATTGCTCTGAAAACGAGTTTGAGCCCGCTAATCTAGAGGTAGTCAAATGATTCTGGAATATTTCATGACTTCAGCTCCCTTTGCGAGGAACTGTTGGGTATTCAACGAGGCTCTTGGAGGATGTCTTTTCGACTGCTAGCACCTCTGTTGAGTGTGTTTGTGCGCTCTTGTGGTCCACCGAGTTCAACTATTAGGTGGGAACTTTTCTGTGCATTGCTAATCAAAAATCAGTGCAATGTTTTGTTTCGGAAGAGATTCTAGTCATTATGGGAACGTCCATATGTTGCCGGCAACGGTTGTCGGTGTTGTTGGTGTTGTCCGTGTTGTCGGGATTGCCGAGGTTGCCGGTCGTTGTAGGACCTCATGATAGCGTCCACTTTTCGCGCACTCCCTAAACTGTCTGGTACTCAGACATTCGCGTTAAGTGCCGCCGGTGAAAAAGTTGTGTCCCGACGGAATGACTGCGAGACTCAAGTAAAATGCTTCGCGAGAAAACGGGGATTCGTAAATGGTTTGGTTTCGTCGAATGGTTGTTTCCGGCGTGTTACATATTAAAAGGTAAGATAGGGTCACACTTGAATGGTCCTCTTTATATGTCACTAACTGGCTTACCCGGCTCCGCCCGGCCCTGTTAGAACAAATGATAAATGTCTTTTCCCTATCCCTGTACAACTTTTCAACTAGACATTCAGCTTTATATATAAGACTAGCGACCCTAGGGGTCATTGATATCTGCCACTGGTTGACTGAAAATCCCTAGGAAGAGAATTTTCATTTTTTCATCGACGTTTCCCGTGTCATGAGTAGTAGAAACAAGACACCATGCTCTTGAGAAAAGAAGCACTACCAATGACTATCTGCAAAGCATCCTTTGCTGTTCCTCTCGCTGACACCTTCGCCCAGATACCACAGCTCTTGAACAAGGAAGCTACCTGTTACTTGTTTAGAATAGCTGATTCATCCCAAAACAGATTGATCAGGAAAAGTGCCATGCCAAAGAAAGCGTCAAGTTATGTCTTCCAGCAGCAGAAAAACCCAGATATGTAGAAGAAAACGAAGCAGCATTTCTTCGATGATGTTTTGCCAGTAAACGAACTCATTTCTTAAAGCAGACTAAAGTTGGCTCAGCGCCTTCTTTTGAGAGACAATCTTACCGAAACTCTCCTGTCGCATAAAACCCTAAGTTCTCTCCTTCCCTCGAAACCAAGCTCCTCATGCTTCTGCTTTGAGAACAAAACTGTGTTTGAGTAGAAGGGGCCAAAAATAAATTTCCATTTAAAATTCCAGTTTCTAATTAAATATTGGCACCTAGAAATTTTTATCGCAAAAATCTTGCTGCCTGAGCCCATAAGCCTTTTCTTCCCTCAGGACCAAACTCCCTGTCTTTCTTGTTAGGGGCAGAAGTGTGATTTTTACGGAGTTTAAGGAGCTAAAATTTCAGTGTGTCCTATCGCAAAAAGCTCATGGGTCTGCCCTTCCCTGGAGACCATTTTCTGCTTTCAGAGGCAAGGTTATGTTTTTTTGCAAAAGTAATGGCCAGAAGTGAATTTCGAGCAAGTTTCTGTGTAATCAAACATTGACACCCAGAAATTTCTGGCGAAAATATCTTGCTGCCTAGTCCATGATTCTTTCTTCCCTCGAAACCAAGCTATCTGTGCTGTTTTGCTTTTAGGAGCAGAAGTGTGGTTTTTGTGAAATATTAGAACCAGAAGCGAATTTCAAACAACTTCTTCATAATTAAACAGGCGCAGAAGTACTCTTTTCGCGAAGCTTAGAGGGGTCTAACGTCTTAGCGGCAATGTCCTGTCGCATGAAGCTCGTGGGTCTGTCCTTCCCTCGAGACTAAATCCTTTATGCTTTTCTGCCTTCAGAGAAGAAGAACTGGTTTTTGCGAACTAGAAGGGACAGAAGTGAATTTCAAGTAAGTTTTCGTACGATAAACATTAACATTCAGAAATTTTCAACGAGAATATTTTGCTGGCTGAGCTCATGAGTTTCTTCTTCCTCCGAGACCAAGCTCTCTATGCTCTTTTCCTTAGGGGCAGAAGTACGGTATGTGCGAAGCAGAGAGGCCAGAGCTAAATTCAAGCAAGTTTATATATAACTAGCTGTCTTACCCGGCTCCGCCGTATGTTCCGATTAGAAAATTCCATTTCTGAACCGATCGGGATCAAACTTGGCACACATACACTTCGGGCCCCGGCGGGTGTCACAGTTCACTTTTCGTTATCGATAGATGTCGATTTTATCGATTTTTTGCAAAATTTGAGCTAGGGGGCTGAAATTTGGCAGGGTGTGTAATCGAGCATGCTGATCACCCCCACGGGGGTGATCAGCATGCTCGATTACCCCCCTGTGCCGACTCCCAGCCCCGTAGCTCAAATTTTGCAAAAAATCGATAAAATCGATATCGATCGATAACGAAAAGTAGCCTATGACACCCGCCGGGGCCCGAAGTGTATGTGTGCCAAGTTTGGTCCCGATCGGTTCAGAAATGGAATTTTCTATTCGGAACATACGTACAGACAGACAGACATACATACAGACAGACAAACAGACATTCAGCTTTATATATAAGATTAGATATTGACACCTAGAAATTCTTAGCGGGACTCTCTTGCCGCCAGAGTTTATAAGCCTTTTCTTCCCTCGAGACCAGCTTCTTTTTGCTTTTCTGATTTTAGGGGCAGAAGTAGGATTTTCAGAAGGTAAAGGCGGCCAAAAGTGAATTTATAGCAACATTCGGTAAGACCGTCTTCGCCAACCGAATGTACAGGGTGTCCCAAAAGTCTTTGAGCCTAGTATTTCCTCCGCTGAAAATGCATGAAGCAACATATAAGCATGAAGTTCAGCAGGGAATTTGCGAAGAGCCTACAAAACAACATGATACACTCAGATTTCTCAAAACCCTCCTTTGGCCTTTACACAGGCTCTCAGACACTTGCG